GGGCTGGAAGCACCTCCCAGCTGGGCATTGTTCCTCCACAGCCTCTGGAGGATTTATGGGCACCCAGGTGGGAAGCCTGTCCAGTAGAGGGGAGTTGGAATTTTCCCACCAGAAGATGCCGTATGGGTTACTTTAAATAACTGCCTGCTTTATCCCATCAGTGCTAATTGAAAGGTTTACAAATCCCATGCATGGGAAGTGCCATATGGGCACACGGTATATGAAGGCACGGTGTCCTGACAACACAAAAATAAATTTGTATTACTTATCCCAGGCTTCTCTGCACTGTCCCCATTTGCAGCCATCTGACACTGAAGTTTTCCACGTCGCTTTCTCCCTGGGGAGAATGTTCCCTCTGAAATGAACTCCTCTACCTGTTCCTTTCCTTCTTAAAATTCTGTCTCTCCTGGGCTGGAATTTCTGTGGAAGAGAGAGACTTGATTTAGGCTTTCTGGATGTTGCTGCTACTCAAGAAGTGATAAAATGAGGGGAATTGTTGCTTGGCTGAAGTATGGATGGCCACAGCCTGTATTTGTCCAGATTAGAAAGACAACTCTGTTGCAGTCACAGTTTGTCTCTTCTTCTGGCTGCAATTTAAGGGACTTCAGTCTTTGCAGAAAAACTCTGCCTGCCACTTACATCATTGCCTCCCCTTCATCCTCTCTGCCCTTTTCCTGCTCCTGACAGAGTATCCAAGAGCAGATTTTATTTATTGACTGTTCCTCAGCAAATGGGAATAGGTTTGGTCTCTGCAGCCTGGCTGGGCAGCAAAGCCTCTGACAGAGCTGCTAAGAGGAGATCTTCAAATAAAAACTGGTGAAAGGAGCCCTTTGACAGCCTGGTGCTTCTGCTGTGGCAGAGCTGCTTGTGGTGGTGCTCTCCCGAGTCCTCCAGAGTTCTGAGCTCCACATCCCCATGTTCCACGTTGGATTTCTGCAGGCTGCAAAGTGGTGACTGTAACACACAGCCTGTTTTTGGAGGAGCTGAGGCCCAGAAGTTCACAGCAGCCCCAGTTTTGGGGTGTCAGCATTGTTCTTTGCTGTGATTAGAGGAAGGGCAGTTTGGGGTGCTGAGGCATCTTAGCGTTACAAAACCCAGTGATCTCAAAGGGGATCGAGTGTCCAATGCACCTGGGTATGCCTTCATCTAAAGCAGGGCTTTTTTATCCACTGTGAGTTTACTGCCCTCATTAATGGTAATTTACTGCCCTCATTAATGGTTCTTTCCCCTGCTTTGTCTTCCTGATTTCATGGGCAGACCCTGAGGTTCCTGAACATTGTGTTGTTCTTCTGTCGTGAATAATTCCAGTGCTCCTGCAAATTCATCAAATGAATTGCTGTATCAAATCAAAAAAGAGTTAAAAAATACAGCCCCACCTGTTTCCTGCTTTTCTCACACCAAATCCTTTATTTTTAAGTTACCAAAAATGAAATAACTCTAAAAGCCCCTTTCTTGCTGTGTGTAAGTGACCTGGGAGCAGCGAGGGCAGGAACAAACCCTCCTTTCTTGCCCCAAACCCCTCTTTCTCTTCACACAGGTCTGGCAAACATCGACTTCTGAGGGCTGCAGCAGGGAGCCCTGCAGAGCTGGGGCCTGGGCCAGGACGTGGAGAGGATGGGATTGGCACGTGCCAGCCCCGGGCTGTGCCTGGGACACTCCTGGTGCTGCTGGGGACGGGCACCTCTGGGTGGATTCAGGAGCATCTCCTGTGAGCAGGACCTGCCTCTGCCCCCAGCCTCCACGGGGGCTCGCACGAGGCGTCGGTAACTCCTGCACAGAGCTTGCCTTCCTTAGTTCAAACTGAAAGTAAAGTGTTCTTGGGTTCTTTGATTTCCCTCGTGTGTGTGTTTGTGGCTGTGTAACACGTGTTTGTGGCAGGAGCCCGGGGAGCTGCAGCAGGGGCTGGCTGAGCAGGAATTCTGGGCATTTTTGGTCTCTTCAGGTCTAATTTGGATGGAGTGTCACCGTGTCAGCTTCTCCAGGCTTCAGTGAGAATGCTGACACTGCTGGGGGTTCTTGGAGGGGAAGGAGGTGACCGCTGTCTGTGGTCGGTGATGTACAAGAAACTGGAAAATAGACTCAATTTAACTGGGAAGGGCTTAGCTTGTGGTTTCAGCACTGGCATGCTGAAGAAAGAAATTAATCTCAATTTGCACTGCTTCTGGTACTATCTTTACACCAGTTCCTCCTTCTCTTTCCCCTAAAAGAAGCAAAACAAAATCCCAACAGCAATGAAAGCCCTTGTCCTGCTGTTTGAAATGGAATCTTGCAACCTTCCTGTGAGAAACAGAAATAAATGTTTAGTATTTATAATCTGTCTCCTGTCTTACTTGCTAGAAATGGCCGGTTTCTATCTCATTTAGGGACATTTTTCCTCTCACCCAATGCCTCACCAGGAGTATTTTTTTAAGCAATTGCTGGCAGGCCCAGAGCAGCTGTGGCTGCCTGGATCCCTGGAGTGTCCCAGGCCAGGCTGGGCAGGGCTGGGAGCAGCCTGGGGCAGGGAAAGGTGTCCCTGCATGGCAGGGCTGGCACTGGGTGGCATTTAGGGTCTCTTCAACCCATTCTGGGATCCTGTGAAATGCCCTTTCATTCAGGAACTAAAACTGAACCCAAACCCCAGCCCCAAAACCCCTGTGCACTGCAGGGCCCTTCCTGAGCAGTCACTGCTGCCCAGAGGCACCAACGCTGTCCTGCTCATCTCTTGGGAATTATTGAGGAGTGCAGAGTTGCATGAAAGCCCATCTCTCAGTTTAATTTTGGCCAGACCCCCTTTGGGACATGGTTCCCTGAGCCTCCTGCAGCACCTTTCTGAGTGGAGCCCAGCTGGGGTTGCAGCTGGAAGATGCAGATGTGTTCTTGGGAGCTGGTGCCTTTCTCATCCCAGGGATCCAGGGGCAGCCCCAGCTGCTCTGGCAGCTGTGCCAGGGCCTGCCCATCCTGCCAGGGAAGGATGTATACTATCTATATACTACTATATTATCTGACCCTTTGTCACTGCTTATTCCACCTTCAAAGTTGGTAACTCATTCCATGGCTCAAACTCAAAACCACAGCTGTTTCCAGCTGCCTGCCAGGATCTAAAATGCTTCTGACCAAGGCCTGGAACCTCTAAAAATGTCTGAGAGACATTCTGAGTTCCAACACAGAGAGGCTGCAGAGGAGCCGTGCTGGGATGGGCTCCCCAGAATGGGAATGGAATGGGAGGCTTTGCTCAGGACACAGGTCCCGTGTCCCTGGCAGTGCCAGGTCCAGCAGGAGCCAGGAGCTCCTCCTGCCTGCCCACACAGCCTGGCAGTGGAGCCTTGCTCTGGGTGCTGGCCCTGCCCTGCAGCTGTGCCACCCTCGTTACCCATCGCTGGGCATTGCCCGCTCGCCCTTCACGGCCCCCCACAAGCAGCTGCCTTCCAGAAAGTGAAATTATGGAACTGGCAGGGCTTGCCCAGCCTCGGGAGCAGAATGGAAAGCAGTGCTTGGCTCTGTGCACGCTGTTTCAGCCCCTCTGCAGAGTTACCATCCCCATTTTGAGGTCACAGCTTTTCAGGGCTGCTGGGGCACAGGAGAATGTTATTGAGGATGGAAACGTGGGTGGGCTGCCAGGACAGCCAGGGCCAGGTCATTGCAGGGAAGAAGTGCAGGGGTGTGTGGGAGCAGGAGCATCCTCCCCTTCTGTGGGATCTCGGTGGATTTTAATGCTAAGCAGCAGAATTAAGAATGTGAAATGGCAGAATGAAGGTCTGAATGGCTTCATCCTACCCGGGTGGTGATTTTCCCAGCTCAGACACCAGCCTGGGCTGCAGAACTGACACAAATGCATCCCTGCTCTCCAGCAGGCAATGCTCAGCCTGCGTTGGGGATCCCTGGAAATTTCCATCTGCACTGAGGCAGCCCTGGGAGCAAAACTCTTACACAAGTGGGCTCTGTGCAGGGCAGAGGTCACCCCACCTGTGCCCCAGCTGCAAATCGTTCTGCAGGTTCTCTTTCAGCCCAGTTGTGTAATCCCGGCATCCGAGATAAATGAGGGCAGATAAGGCAGCGTCGGGGGAGCTGCTCTGATTCTTTATGGCTCTTTAGGAGAGCTGACCCCCATGCTGGGTTTGCCGGGGTCTTTCCTTGCAGCACCACGTTGTGCAGCACCAGAATACTTGGGAAGAACTTTTTTATAGGTACCAGCTGGAATTCTGGTCTTTAAAACATATGAACACCAATTCACAGAGAACACTTGAAGCATTTCAAGAGCATGGAGTGACAGGAAAAAGGGGAATGAATTCAAACTGACAGAGAGGAGCTTTAGATTCCATTTTAGGATGAGATTATTCCATGGGAGGGTGGGGAGACCCTGGCACGGGTGGGTTTCAGTGGCCCTTCCAACCCAAACCAGTCTGGATTCTGTGACTGAGTGTTAACAGTACTTACAATGTTCTTTAGTGTCTGCCTAAGTGGTTTTTGGGTGCTTTGGGTTTAGGACCCCAGAATGGTTTGGGTTGGAAGGGACATTAAAGATGATCCAACCCTCACATCTGTTTTCTCTACAGCCCCTCATTTGGTGCTTTTTGTATGGAAAAGCAAAGGAAAGGTGGCAGATCTGCAGGGTGAAATGAGGAGAGGAGTGGAACACAGGGGGTGGATAAAGTAGGGGTGTTCTGGCTCTCCTGCCAGGTAGATGGATGAGGGAGACATTCTCTGTGATTCCTAAAAACCATTTTTGGAACCTCGGCTCGTTTGGTGCCACCACTTCCTGCACTAATTGACACAGTTGCTATTGTCACTTATCTAACAAATCGGTGCAAGCCCAAACAAGGACAAAAATAAGTGTCTGCTGATAGGAACAGATTTCTCTGTTCTCATCCCCACGCCTTTTCCCACGGGCAGAGTTTCCGTGTGTCTCACTGAGCAAACCTTGGTGCTGAGGATTCCCCCTGTGCTGGGAGCAGGCTCTGGGCTGGCGAGGCAGCTCCAGCACGGGACCCTTCCCTCCCTCTGCTTTTCTGCTGCCCTTTCAGGCCTGGGCTCAGCACTCATTCCTGCCTTCGGCCTGGATGTGGAGCATTTCCCCCGCAAGGCTCAGGCAAACATCCCCACTCCCAGGGTGGTAAATGTTTAAAAGCCAAGGACGGGGGGTTAATCCTCGGGCTGCGACCTTGCCGGGCTCTGAAGCCACCACTGAGGTGGGACACAGAGCACGGGCACGGTGGCACCACCCTGGGCAGCTCCTGCACCAGGAGCACCCAGCAGCACCCTGGGGTGGCCACTGGCTGCCTTTGCCCTGGCCAGGGAGGTGTCCTGAGCAGTGCTGGTGGCACCCATGTGCTGGTGGCACCCATGTGCTGGTGGCCCTGGGGATCTCAGGTCTAGGGTCTGGGATCTGGGGTGTGGGATTTGGGATCTGGGGTCTGAGATCAGGGGTCTGGGGTTTGGGATGTGACATGTGGGGTCTGAGATCTGGGATCTGGGTCTGGGGGTCTGAGATCTGCGACTTAGGATCTGAGATCTGGGATCTGGGTCTGTGGTCTAGGGTCTGAGATCTCGGATCTGGGGTCTGGGGTCTGGGATCTGGATCTGGGGTCTGGGATCTGGGATTTAGGAACTGGGGTCTGGGTCTGGGTCTGGGTCTGGGACAGCCCAGCTCCTGGCAGCGCCTGTGTGGTGCCATGGGAGCTGCTGCAGGAAGCACCAGCTGAAATCTGGATTGTGTTACATTGGTCTCTCATAATAAGTACCCCAAAAAGAAATGAAATCTGGATTCCTTCTGGCCAAGTTCAGCTCCTTCCCAGAGGCAGACTCGGCCGGTCGTGCTGGGAGCCGCAGTGACAGAGGGGCTCCATGGCCTGTGGGAAGCTGGCCCTGGCAGGGCTGAGTCAGGTATTTCCCTGTCCCACAGCTCCGGGGGTTCCTGGGCACCCCAAAGAGCAGCGGGCCCAGCTCTCACTCTCCACAGCCCAGTGATGCCCACAGGCTGGTGCCCAGACCCCACGGCTGTGGGAAGCGAGCTCCTGGGGGGGAGATGGGCAGTGCAGGCTCGTTTCGAGGTCCTTTGCTGGATTCTCCTGCCTGACCCTTGTCCATGGTGTGGCCACAGGGACAGGCCAGTGGAAATTTCCTTCCATCCCCAGCGCCCTGTGACAACACCATAAACCCCGGCGGCGCTCCTTGCAGGAGCTTCCCATAAACCCAATCCCTGGAGGCTGCTCAAGGCTGCAGGACCCATCCCTGCAGGGCTGGGCTGATCCCTGCTGCAGGGTGGGCACATTCTGCCACTCAGGAGCTGCACTGGGATCACCCCGTGCCCATCACGGGCTGGGTGATCGCTGAGCCCTCACCAGGAACACTCCAGCATCACCCCTGGGTTCCTTCAGCCCCAGCTCAGACCCTCCAGGGCAGCCCTGGCTGCTCCTGCTGGGAGCTGTGGCTTGTGAGGTGCTGCTGCCTCGGGGTGCCCCTGCTCCCCTGCTCCAGGCAGTGATCCCTGCTGGGATGAGGAGAATTTTGGGAGGGTTTAATCAGTGTTTGATCAATGCCAGCTTTTGCAGTGCCTGCTGGATCCCTTGGCACCGTCACCTGCATCTTTATCTGAGAGCAGGGCAAGAGGGACATGAGCCCCCAGCCCTGGATCCCCGGGCAGATTTGGGCTGAGGTTCACAGGAATTGTGACTGATGGTGCCCGCTCACAGCTGGGCACGCCTGGCACAGGTGCCCAGAGCAGTGCAGCTGCCCCTGAAAGTGTCCCAGGCCAGGCTGGGAGGGGACAGTGGAAGGTGTCCCTGCCCAGAGGGGGGTGGCACTGGGTGGTCTGGTTCCCTGGAGCTCCCTCCCCACCTGAACCACCCGGGGTTCTGGGGGAGCATCACCCGGGGTTCTGGGGAGCATCACCCGGGGTTCTGGGGGAGCATCACCCGGGGTTCTGGGGGAACATCACCCGGGGTTCTGGGGGAGCTTCACCCGGGGTCCTGGGAGAGCATCACCCGGGGTTCTGGGGGAACATCACTCGGGGTTCTGGGGGAACATCACCCGGGGTTCTGGGGAGCATCACTCGGGGTTCTGGGGAGCATCACCCGGGGTTCTGGGGGAACATCACTCGGGGTTCTGGGGGAACATCACCCGGGGTTCTGGGGCAGGATCAGCCCTTTCCCAAGGGCGCTGCCCCTCGGTGGCTCCAACAGGCACAGAGGCCCCAGGGCCGGGCACAGGTGCCACACTCCAGGTGTGCAGGGCAGGAACCACATCCCGAATCCCGGCAGAACCCCCTCAAACCACCACCAACAGCAACAAAAATCCGAGGGAAAAATCCCCAAGCCTTGAAGCAAGGCTTGGCAGTGATAACGAGCTTTGATATCGCTGGGGGCCGGCCCAACAGCTTTTATGACCCTTTTTTTGCCTTAGCAATGCAAATCCAATCTGTATTTAGGGCCTCCCCTCCAGAGCTGCCTCTCAGACAGTCAGGGGGAGCCCAGCAGCCTCTCGGGGTCCTGCACAGCCAGGCTCTGCCCCGAGCATCCCCAGCCGAGCCCTGGGCTGGTTCCCGTGCCCCAGCCGTGCCCTGGGCTCCCGTGCCCGCTGCAGGACGTGATGGACACTGATGCCAAGCCCTCGTCCCTGCAGCGTGTGCAGCCCTGCCTGGCCGAGCTGCTGGGCACTGCCCTCTTCATCTTCATCGGCTGCCTGTCGGTGCTGGAGGACGCGGGGGGCACGGGCCGGCTGCAGCCCGCCCTGGCACACGGGCTGGCACTGGCTGTCACCGTGGCCGCGCTGGGGGACATCAGGTAAGGGACAGCGAGCGCCCCTGGGCTGTGCCAGCACACGGAGCTGCTCCCACCCTCCCCTGCCCCAACCCCACGGCCCTCAGCACCCCTGCCTTGCCACGGAGCTCCTGGTGCCCTTTGGGGGTGGTGGCATCGGTGGTGGCATCTTTGGTGGCACCCACAACGCCGTGGGTTCGGGGCTGCTCACCTGTCTCGCATTGCAGCGCTTCAATTTTTAGCCCCTTTTCATAAAAACGGTCAAGCTGAAGGAGCAGCAGCGTTCTCCTCTGGGAGTTGGAGATATCTAAGGGCCCTTCCAGCCCAAAGCATTCTGTGATTTTATGATTCTCTCTGAAGCTGAGATGTTTCCTTTTACAAGGATGTCAGAGCAAAACATTTTGACCCAACTGCGCTCCTCCTCTGGGTATTTTCAGGTGGAAGAAAAAGGGAGGGTTTCAATAACTCAAAAGCAACATTTAGAAAATGTGCTCATTGCAAAAGCTGCTGTGTGGTGCTGAGACACACATTTATCCCTGGGGAAGATGCTGAAAGGGTCCCTGGGGAGTGTCACCCCCTTCCCTGTGCCAGCTGCACACAGCGCAGGGCTGGCATCTCCGGGCTGGCCCGGCTGGCCTGGCCAGGAGCAGGGCACAGCCCGGAGCCCAGGGCAGTGGGATGAAAATGCAGCAGCGCCTGGCAGGAGGGAGAAGGGCCCAGGGTGGGGCTGGTGCAGTGGAGACTCCTGAGCCACGGTGCCTGTGCCAGGTCCTGCTGCACCCCAAGCCCAGGGCAGCAGCACAGGGGAGCTCCAGGTGAGGGGCTGCAGCTTCACACCGAATCCTGAAATGGTTGGGATTAGAGAGGAGCTTAAATCCCACCCTGTGCACCCCTGCCACGGCAGGGACACCCCCCACTGCCCCAGCTGCTCCAGCCCCAGTGTCCAGCCTGGCCTTGGGCACTGCAGGAATCCAGGGGCAGCCCCAGCTGCTCTGGGCACCTGTGCCAGGGCTGCCCACCCTACCAGGGAGGATTGAGCCCTGGGAAAGGCTGCCCAGGGAAGGATTGAGCCCTGGGGAAGGCTGCCCAGGGAAGGATTGAGCCTGGGGAAGGCTGCCCAGGGAAGGATTGAGCCCTGGGAAAGGCTGCCCAGGGAAGGATTGAGCCTGGGGAAGGCTGCCCAGGGAAGTTGAGCCCTGGGAAAGGCTGCCCAGGGAAGGATTGAGCCCTGGGGAAGGCTGCCCAGGGAAGGATTGAGCCTGGGAAAGGCTGCCCAGGGAAGGATTGAGCGCAGGGAGGCTGGAGAGGAGCCCAGCTCGGGAGGGGTTCCCATTCAGGCTGCTCCCCCAGTGGGGTTTGGGTGCTGCCAGGTGCCCCCTGAGCCCAGGCTGCCCCCAGCCCGGGCTGCTGCCCTGGGGCCCTGGGCAGCCGAGGCAGCAGCCCTGAGCAGCTCCCTGCTCTCCTGGGGCTCGGCTGAGCAGTCAGATGTGGCTCCTGCTCCCAGACTCTCTGACTCATCTCCAGCAATTATCAGCCTGATCAGTTATGAAACCTGTTCATTAACCTGTGTCTCATGGCAATCAGGATTAATTAGAGGGTCTCTCTGTCTGACTGGCTCGTGCTTTTTGAGGAGAAGGATTTAGGTCTGGTACCGAGGGCTGGCTCTGGTCTGTGACTGCCTGGGGGACGTGTGCCCTGCCAGGCTGTGCCAGCCCAGCACTGCATTCCTGCAGCTCTGTGAGTGCCCTGCTGCCCACAGCTGCCTGGCAGCGCTGCAGCAGCTCTGGGACCTCCTCAGTGGCATCCCCCAAATCCTGTCCTCAGACTGCCCCGCCTGGCACTGCTGCGTGTCCAGCCTGCTGCCGCTGCTCTGCAGCACAGGGAACACCTGGATCCTGCTGCTCTGCAGCACGGGAGGGCTGGCAAAGCAGCTGGGGTGCCAGGGCACGGCGAGAGGCCACCGCGCTGGGGGATGCCCCCTGATGCTCCTCTCTCCTCGGCAGCGGCGGCCACTTCAACCCCGCCGTGTCCCTGGGCGTGTGCCTGGCCGGGGGGCTGCCCATGCCCATGCTCATCCCCTACTGGCTCTCCCAGCTCTGCGGAGGGGTGATCGGAGCTGCCCTGGCCAAGGTAGGGACCCGGGGTGTCCCTGGGCATTGGGATTGTCCCTGCCCTGGCAAAGGTAGGGACCCGGGGTGTCCCTGGGCACTGTCCCTGCCCTGGCAAAGGTAGGGACCCGGGGTGTCCCTGGGCATTGGGATTGTCCCTGCCCTGGCCCAGGTAGGGACCCGGGGTGTCCCTGGGCATTGGGATTGTCCCTGCCCTGGCCAAGGTAGGGACCCGGAGGTGTCCCTGGGCATTGGGATTGTCCCTGCCCTGGCCAAGGTAGGGACCCGGGGGTGTCCCTGGGCACTGTCCCTGCCCTGGCAAAGGTAGGGACCCGGGGGTGTCCCTGGGCATTGGGATTGTCCCTGCCCTGGCAAAGGTAGGGACCCGGGGGTGTCCCTGGGCACTGTCCTGCCCACTGCGGGCTCTGGGGCCAGGCTCTGCCCTCCAGAGGTTCGCCGTGCCCTCTATCCAAGGGGGCACAGCAGGACCGGGGTGCCTCACAGCGCTGCCCAGGGCGTTTCCCCGTGCCCGTTCCCCCAGCACCGTGCCCTGGGGGCGGTTCGGGTTCGGTGCTGCCCGGTCCAGCTCCAGCAGCACCGAGTGCTCCGGCCGGCACATCCCGCGGGCAGCCGGGGCTCCCACCCCGCCCCGGTCCCCCGGCGGTGCCCGAGCCTCCCCCGCCGGCTCCGGGCGTGCCAGGCTCGGGGCCGCCCGTCCTGCCAGCTTAGCCCAGTTTAGCTCCTCTTTAAGCCGCCCACGCTGCCCCGACAGCGAGCCCATCTGCTGGCACGGGCACGGGCGCGGCCCGGGGCGGGCGGGCACCGACGCTGTCCCCGCAGGCCGTGGCACCGAGCGAGCGCTTCGGCAGCGCCGGCGGAGGAGCCTTCGGCGGAGCCGCCGCTGCCCAGCGGGTGCCGGTGCCCGCCGTCCTGGCGGCCGAGACCCTGCTCAGCTCCCTCCTGCTCCTGCCCGCCTGCGTGGGAGCCGCCAGCCGCAGGGGCAGCGCCCCGCTGGCCCCGCTCTGCACCGGGCTGGCGGCCACGGCCGGCATCCTGGCGGGGTGAGCTGTGCCCGCCGTGCCCGCCGTGCCCGCGGGATGGGATAATGGGATGGGATGGGATGGGATAATGGGATGGGATGGGATGGGATGGGATGGGATGGGATGGGATGGGATGGGATGGGATGGGATGGAGCTGCCCTCCTGAAGCACAGCACGGACCCTGTGCCCAGGGACACGGAGGCAAGCTGAGGAAGGGCACCAGATGAGCCCAGTGGGCGCTCTGGCAGTTTGGGAGAGGTGCTGGGCTGGGCGCAGGAGCAGCCAGGGCCACAGGATAAGGAGCACACGCAATTGGCAGCGTGAATGGAGCCTTGGCTGAGGCGGTGCCCACCCGCTCGGGCAGGACCCCGGGCCGTGTTTACACAGGGCACCAACCCCTCGGCAAATATTTACCCCTAAGGCTGTAATTGCTGCCACCCCACGAGTGTGTGCAAGTGTGTGTAAGCTGTGTGTAAGCTGTGTGTAAGCCCTGTGTGAGATCTGTGTAAGTCCTGTGTGGTGTGGAGCCCCCCTGAGCAAAGCCTGGCTGCCTCGGCCCGAGCCCGGTGCCCAGCAGAGCCCCGGGCAGGAGCCTGGCAGGGGGCTGCTGCTGCCCACCCCTCCCTGCCCGTGCCAGCAGGAGGGGGGTGCCGCTCCCGTGTCCCGCTGGGATGGCACAGCCTCGGTGTCCCCTGGCAGGGGCAGCGTGTCCGGAGCCTGCATGAACCCAGCCCGAGCCTTCGGGCCGGCTCTGGTGGCCAACTCCTGGCACAACCACTGGGTCTACTGGCTGGGGCCCATGGCAGCTGCACTGCTCGTCGGGCTGCTGCTGAGGTAGGTGGCACCTGCAGTGGCACCGGGACTGGCACCCTGCGGGCTGAGCCTCCCCGTGCCCTGTGCCTGGCACTGGGACTGGCACCCTGCGGATTGACCCTCCCCATGCCCGTGCTGCTGCTCCTCCAGCGGGCAGCTGCTGCTCCACAGGGTGTCCAGGGCTGGGGACTCCTGTCCCTTTGCCTTCCCACGGGGTCAGGGTGGCAGCAGAGGCCCAGCCCGTGTCCCCACGGGCCTCACCCGTGTCCCGTGTGGCTGCCAGCCTGGGGCCGCTGCTGTGCCCGTGTCCTTGTTGTGTCCCTGCCAGGGCAGAATCGTGAGCCCGGATTTCTGTCTCCCCTCCCCAAAGGCTCCTGCTGGGTGACCAGGCCACCCGCCTGCTCCTGAACTTCCCGTGCTGCTGGAGGGGGGATGGAGCCCGGCTCTGCCAGCCCTGCCACGGCAGCAGCCCACCGGGAGCATCCTCGGACAGCTCTGTGGTGCCCCAGGCTGCTCTGGCACTGCCCATGCATCGTGTCTGACCCCCAGAGCTGTGCCCGGGCACCCACAGAGCCAGGGAGCCCTGTGCCCTCCGTGTCTGACCCACGGAGCCAGGGAGCCCTGTGCCCTCCGTGTCCGGGCACCCACGGAGCCAGGGAGCCCTGTGCCCTCCGTGTCCGGGCACCCACGGAGCCAGGGAGCCCTGTGCCCTCTGGGTGGGCACCACCACCCCCGCCACCCTCGCCGGGATGGTGCCGAGCAGCTCCTGCCCCGTGATGCCTCAGGGGCGGCAGGAGGGGGCTCTGGGCACAGCGCTGCCTCATCCCGCGGCCCCCAGCCTCCCCTGGGGGGCTCGTGGGGACCCCCCTGCCCTGGCACACGGCTGGCACCGCGAGCACCCCCGGTGCCAGACAGGAGCGCCCCGCGCTCCCGGGGTTAAGCCACGCCGGATTTTGGGAAATGATGGCTTGGGAAATGCCTGATGCTCGCCCAGCCCCCGCTGCGGGCAGGGGCCGGGGCTGGCTCGGGCCGCTCCCCGGGCAGCAGCGGGCACCCCGGGCAGGGCAGCTGCCTCCTCCCTCTCCCACCGCTGCCTCTGCCGTGCCAGGGCAGCTCCCAGCTGTCCCCGGGGGCTGGCAGGGCACTGCCAATGTCACCTCTCTATTTTCAGCCTGGTTTCTGCTTTGCCACGCCGGGGGTGACCCGCGCGGGGGCACGGGGGCACTGACGCGTTTTTAGGGAAGGACGATGCTGCGGGGATGCTGCAGCGAGGGAAGGCCGGGGATGGAGCATCCCTGGCGAGGGGCGAGGGGCGCTGTGCCCCCTCCCTGGGCAGCTGCCGGGGCTGGGCAGCAGCCGAGGGAACTGCCGGCGAGCCGGGGGCCCGGCAGCCGCTCACCCGGGCAGGAAAACGGTGCCACCCCAAAGGAGACGAATGGCATGAAGATGTCACCGGGACGGTTGGCATGGCAACGCCACAAAAACTGCCGAACCAAACACGGAGTCGCTGTTTCCTCCCCGAAGGGAACCCGAGGGGCTGCGGGGACCCCAGCGCGTCCCCGCCCTGCTCGGGGCACAGCTCCGGCGGAGCGGGGCTGGGCCCCCGGGGCTGCCCCTTCCCCTTTCGAGAGGATGCTCGGCCCCGCAGGAAACGCGCTCGGCTGCGGCTGCCTCTGCACGGGCAGGCTGCTGCGCCGGCACCCCAAA